TGTTGATCTTCTATCCTGCCACTTTGCTGAATCTTCCAATGAGGTCTAGTAGCTTTTTTTCCCTGAGTCTTTGGGGTTTTCTATGTATAGGATCATATCGTCTGCAAATAGTGTTTTACTTTTTGTTTGCCAATTTGGATGCGTTTAATTTCCCTGTCTTGCCTTACAGCTCTTGCTAAGACTTCCAGCACAATGTTGAATAGGAGTGGTGACAAAGGGCATCCTTGTCTGGTTCCTGTTCACAGAGAGAAGACTTTCAGTTTCTCTCCATTGAGAGTAATACAGGCTGTTGGTTTTGTATATATGCTCTTAATTATGTTGAGGTATTTCCCTTCAATTCCTGTTTTGTTGGGGGTTTTTATCAGGAATGGATGTTGGATTTTGTCAAATGCCTTTTCTGCATTAATCGATATGGTAGATTATATGTTGATTGTTTTTGTGATGTTGAACCATCCTTGCATCCCTGATATAAACCCACTTAATCATGATGTATAATACCTATGTCTTGATCCTCACAATAAACACCTTGTTACTTATACACACACTGCACTGTACTCTAGTTTATTCTGATGGCACCTCTCCCCATGTACAAATCAACAGTTTACCGTACAACAGTGTATCCTTCCACTGGCCGGCAGCAGCATCCAGTCTCGTGTGTGGCATGGCTCAAGTGCTGTAGCCTTATCTGTTGGTTTAATTTTCTTTGGAGAATGTTACCGTGAAGCGCACCACAGTTCCTAAATGCAGCAAATCCAGTGCTAGTGACGGTAGCAGCAAAAGGCAAAGGAGAAGGATCGATATGGAAGTGAAACAAGAGGTTATTGAAAACACAAACGTGGAAAATCAGTGGATGCCACTGCTCACAATGTCGGCATGTACATATAAGCTCCAAATTGCATAACCTCCCAGGTCACGGAGCATACCGTGCATGTTAAGTGACACACAACTGTACAAAAGAACAAGTTTTCTTGATTCATCGACTTTCCTTGGTTTCTTTCATAAACCTGCAGGGCCAGAATGTAGCAGTATTTACTCGACACAGTTATTCATTTACTCAAGGCAAAGAAAGCTTTGCCTCCAAGAATGGCAGCATACTAACCACCTGACAGCCTTTCACTTATGTAGGCAGGAAACTAAAGCTGAAGGTGCTTTAAAGGGGCTTTTCCTGATGCCAAAAAATACAATAAAGTGAGACTAGATTGAATGAGGTTGAGTATCACAATGAGGCAAAAACATGTGAAATATTTCACGCAGCCAACCTTATTTATTGAGAAGTCCTAATTTTATTGCCCATTTAGTAACATGTTTGTTCCACAAACTAATTTTTCATAAAGCAAAGCACAACTTTTTCTTATAAATAGTATAAATTATTTTATTTACAGAAACTTGTTACAAAACAAATAGACTATATATTTCTTCTCTTTTAAATATCCAAAGTAATTTTCTATCCCTTGACATTTGTTCATGTTCTATACAGCAGCCAACACAAAGTCCAGCTGAGATGCTCTTGATTATGTGTACAAATTATCAAACTAGTCACACATTTTAACACAGGAGATTGCTTTTATAACCAAGCTCAAAAAAACAAAACAAAAACAGCAAAATGTTTTCAAGGCCCTACGTTCACACTGACGGTATGTAGTGCTCATTTTAAATTATCTGAAAATGTTTCGCACAAAATGTAAAAGTGATTATTGTCCGTCAAACAATGAAACTTTTAACAATCATTTTTTCAAAGCCCAATTCTCCCTCCCTCCCCCAGCCCGCCCCAGAAAGAATGAGAGACATTAAGAAATCCCTTGGCAACAGAACTCTTGTAGGAAGACAGCTGCCTTTATAAATTATCTTTTTCAATTTATACATCTTTTTTCAATGTTCTCAGAGGTACTTCTTTGTATGATATTTTTGGAATAAAAAAAAATGTTTTCAAATAATCTATGTTAAACTCTGAAGTTCATGAATGAATAACAAAACGGACACATCCTGTTAAGTTGCTGGCTGAAAAAAATATTTGTAACATGATGCCACTGGGCAATCCATCAATAATTGAATCACTATGAACGAAAAGGTCTTAATTTAAAAATACCTTATAAAATTACTAGCATGGGTGGTTTTCAACTCTTCCCCTAAAATTTTAGAAACAATATTTAGGTGGAAAAAGCAAACTCCAAAAGTTCAACTGAACATTCAAGTCTTTTTAAAGAGAATCTGTCTAAGCTTAAAACTAGGTATCAGGCACTTTCAGTTTTTCCCCATTAGTTTTTACCCACTCACAGCCTAGTACACATGTGCTCAGAGTGCGCACACAGCGGCACACAGACAGGCGCACACACACACACTCTCACACGGAAAACACCAACAAAAGAAAAGCAGTGTGTCACTTATTACATGTAGTCTATCGGGAAATCAGGCCACTAGGGAGAAGCAATGCCCACTTCATCTGGATGAATCAACTCCTGGGACATGACAAGGGACAAAGACTGTCACAGAACAGAGGCATCATCCCTTCAACTGTAAAGGAGGCAGGTTCTAGAACTATTGGCTTGGCAGTGAACCACTTCAAATTATAAAAAGTTATTTACTTTTATTAATTAATAAATAAATACTAGATGATCTCAATTGTACCAAAACAGGATATCCGAAAAAAAGACCTGTGCAAAAATACATATTTAAATATGTACAATTCATTTTTAACAAAATATGTCTTCTGAAATAGGGATACTTCCATATTTATAATAGAACAAGAAATTCCAAAATAAAGATACAAAAGTAGGTTTTGTATAATTCTTTGTTCATCATTGCAGCACTTTTTTTTCTTTTTTCTTTTTGTAGATTAAGAAAATTGCAGGAGTTATCATGAAATTTTATTGGAAAGAATATAAAAATTATCTTGGTTTTAAATTGATACCAAAGTCTGGCTAGAAACAACCCAACCACTGCAAATTTGGTTTTTGCAAGTTAATTTAATTCAAAAAAATACTTGTACTCCTGTGTTTTATATGGTCTGAATTGTTTGTCATAATAAAAAGCAGTTGTAGGAGAAAATAACATATTTTTAACAACAGTCTAAAATTTAATAGCACTGTTTAGATAGGTCTGTTTGTGGCAGGCAGAATTCAAAATGGCTAATTTCCTAATCCCGATCCTCTGTGTTCTACCGGGAAACATAATGAAATTTAATTAAAACCTTCAGTCTAGGAAATCAAATGATCAACACTTGCTAATCTAAATATCTACATTATTCTGAATCAACTTGCTATCATGGGTCCTATTCACATCTTTTGGAACAAGAAGCTCTGTCTGTAAATTCCATCACAAAAACAACTTTATTTATAACCATCAAGTCTCCTCAGATTTGAAAATAGATTCTACCCATACCCCATTGCACTTGTCTCCAAGGAATCATACCTAGGTTCGTTCTGATTCCCTGTCCCTCTTCCCCTCTCTCAAGGATGGAACAAGGCTGATTTCTCTTAATGACACCAAACTGGCCCATCCAAACTTTCTCCTTACTAAACTCTCCCATACTATCTTTTTAAAAATATTGACCGATTGATTGCATAATAAGTGAACAAGTTACTGTTCCCCCTTCCTTAAAAAAAAAAAAAAAAAAAAAATCAGTATTTTACATCAATTTATAGCTAAAGTATCTGCATACCATTTTTCTGTTGGTTTTCTCACATAATATGAATAATTCTGTAGAAATTCACATTATTAGGCTGGTAACCAAGTTCTAGCTGTTGTTGACTTGAAATACCCAGAAACTAAAGTTTGTAACCCAAGAATTGTGGGGAAAAAAGGATGTACTGCGTGGCTCTGTTCCCACCCTGTCCAGACAAGGATCAGAGCCTTGGAAAATTTACCCTGTTTGCGGAAACTTTGTGTGTTCTTCTAGGCAAAAAGATCTGGTTCTCGTTTCAGGGGTGTGGCGGTAGAATCCCAAGTGAAAAAGCCCCAGCCCATCCCCAAAATTTAATGACACATTCTCAAGCATTGTGTTTGAACATATTAAGTTCTTTCTTTGGGGCTGGGGTACTAGAAAATCTATCCTGGAGGGCTCCTAACTCTCTCAGGAAGATGGCTGGCATTTCATTCCACATAAGGAGATGTGCCAAGGAAATAATGTTAGAAAACAATATGCATTCCACACACAAAATCTCCACGTGGGTACATGTACACCTTCTCTAAACCACCCCCCCTCTGGTCCAGCTCTCCACCCCAAACGCATCCACACACCTTCAGGGGCATGCAGGGGTGGGCTACAGTGGGAGGGGCACTCGCTCACAGTGGAAATGTATAAGGAGTTTCCAGGACGGTGTCCACAGTGGAGACTGAGGGCAATGCCTAGGAAACACTGCAGTATCTAATGACTTGGCGAGTGAGTCTCTGCTGCATCCTAACGATCCCACTTTAAAAAGGCAACTTTTTGAGAGTAAAAGACTGGGCAGGACAACAAACCCAATCTGACATACTGTTCAACATAAAGATGTAAAGGATAGGGACATTCCAGTCTGAAAATCTTGGAAAACTTTCTTCCCCTATAATGATTAAATACCTCTCCACTCCCCAGACGCAATTTGGCTTTCCTGTATCAAAACTAGCTTGTATTTGTGTCATATATATTTTAAATCGCAAAAATTGCTTTTGTACCATGAAAACTAAGCCTCTAAAATGGTTTTATACTTGCTCTCTGGGCATCAATGGCTTCAAACCAGTTTGTAGGTTTCTCATCTCTGATGACTTGCCAAAAACGGCTGGGCAAAAATACAGGCTGTTTTGTCCAGGTGCCTTTTGCTACTGTGCACACTCTATTCCTGGAATACTGCTCCACGAACCTACAATCCCCTGGCCCACCAGGGCTGCTCAGGGCCTGACCACTGGGGAGTGGCCCACAGAAGACAGTGTCACAACAGACAAATGGTGGCCAGGGTGGGGGAGGGGGAGCCAGCTACAGTAAGCCTCATGCCCTTTAGCATTCGGTTGCCCATCTACTCCATGAGTGGTTCCGTGACAGACTGCAAGTTTAAAAACAAAAGAACAGAAACAAAAGCTTCTCACAGATTGGTAGCCAGCAGTCCAGACCACTTTAACACTGATAAAAGCAACTCGGTGGCTGAACTGGATCCAGTGTCCTTTATGAGTTCTCACTGCTACAGACACAGCTTCAGGGAAATCCTTGTTAAAACAACAGCCCGGCAGCTTCCTACCCTGGAGACCCACAGGAGGTTGGGAAAACCGACTCAAAGGCATCGTGGAGTCCAGAGTGTTGAGAGGAGGTGTAACTTGTCATCAAAAGTGTCCAGATTATTCCTCCCCGCGCTCTTTTCAGCTGTCAGGGACGTGCCTTTGGCTTTCAAAAAAGAGGGGGAGGGAAACAATGGAAAAAGGTAAGTAGGTGGTTGTACACTCTGCAGCCAATTCTAAACCAGAAGTTTCCAAAGGTCACATGGCACTAGAATTGCCATTGAGAGGGTGATGCAAGGAGCCGTCTCAGCTTCAGAATTCGGCCTTGGCTTTTTAAAAGGTTTCATTGCCCTTAAACCTAATCACACTGAAAGCTTTTCTTTTAGGAAACTGGCTAGCAGAGGTGCAGACTAGGTTCTTAGCATAGGCAAAAGAGGTTCACATGTTTGCCTTCTGTTTTACTTACTGATTGTGTGTCCCTGAAGGTATTCCAGCTGGTCAAATGAGAACTAATCAAGGTCATATGGGCCAGCAGCACCCACAGGTGTGACAGCTTCCAGTCAAGGGTGTGCCTGCTTATGCCCTGCCCCATGGTGGACTGTTGTTTGGTACTGGGGGACGGACAGAGGCCACGGACAAAGCTCTACAGGGCTGTCTGGTCAGTGTCATCTCCCAGGCAGTCCTGCTTTATTCCCTGGGTGGCTTCAACCAGCCAGTTCTCTTTGTTTTAAAGGCAGCTCTGCTTTGTACAGAAGATAGCACATTGAGGTAACCGGTTTTCTAAGAGCAGTATTTTTCGAAGCATTTTGGGGCTGGAGACCCCTAGGAAATACTGGTGAACATTCTAGGACCCCTCGTAATGTATACATGAGCACAGACAGAAACATGGTACAAAGTCTTCTTGCGTGTTCATCGGTGCTACAGTCTCCACCCAATAGGCTGCCTATAAGATTTGTGCAGTATAATGACAAGCACTACACAGAAGAAATCCTTCTCGAACACAAACTTAAGCCCAAATGGATTTTATGGAACAGGATCCAAATTTAGGCTGTTTGGGCTTTTGGCTTTCCAAGAGAGACATAACTCCCTCCCCGAGAGGATATCAATCAGAAGCAGCAAACGAGCCACTTCTGAGCCAAACTTGCCTATCAGATATGTGTTTGGGCTATACTAGGTTAAAAAACCAAAACACTACATTGTTTTTTAAATGGCCAACTTTCACACTCAAGTCCAAATCTGCAGTTTGTCTTTCAGAAATGTCTGAGGGGACAGGTGCGCCCCAATGTTCTCGAGGTGCTGTCACTCCATACTGTGCCCCACCAGTGGGCAGTAAGATCTCAATGAAGACAGAGTATGCTCAGTGGGCTCTCAGGCATGGGTGTATCATTTCTTGCTGTGTTTGCACTGCACTATTATGCTTATCATAAACTATAATGAGTAACTATAAACCAAGAAGTAAAAGCACCAATCTCACCTGTCCAGGAACCCTCTGATAAACAGAACAAAACAAAACGAAAAAACAAAAAATGAAAAAAAAAAAGTTTTACAAAAAGTCCATGAGTATCTGAAACTCAAATGGAAGGCTTTAAGTGGTTGCTATTTAAATCCATGGATAATGATTTTCCTCATACTTTTGGCAACGGGTGTTAATCACAGAGATACTGGAAGGGAATTAAATTGCAGTAGGAACTTCTTGGCATTTCCTAAAAAAGCGCTAACCAAGCATCTGACTTAAGCTCTGAATACGAAGAAGGAAAAAACAGGAAAAAAAAAGAGCCTCACATTTTAACTGAGGGCTCTGGGGTGAGGCTGATGCAATTCCCTTTTATACACAAAGTGCTCTACCCAGACGAACAAAGTAAGATGAGGGATGAGCAGGGAGTTAGAGGAAAGGAAGCTGGAAGAAATAGCGACCAGAGACAACACACCCTAAGATACAGTATGAGAGAAAGAGTCATGCTTCATTTTGAACCCAACACCTTCTTAAGTCAATTCTCCACTATGGGCCCTCTCTAAGATTTCTTTCTAATCTGTTAGTTAATGTGAGATGTTAATCTTCTATTGTGCCTGTTTTCCTGACTCCCTTGAAAACAGGAAGAAACCATGGGGTGAGATTTAACCACAAAATCTGAAATACTCTGAGGGGGAACATATAGAAAACTCTTCCACTGAAAAATGTAAATACCCGTCCCCACTTCCAGTCTCCCTCACAGGCACCCGCAGGACGACTAATACTCAGGAAGCTCAGCTGGCTTCCTTCCTCCAGAGAATCATGGGATGCCTCCTCTTCACCCAGTATAGCTCCTCGCTTACTGTCTACCAAAACCTCCCTTCCACTTCCAACTCTTGTTCTGCACGCTGGTTTCCACAGCAGTGTCTGCTAAATGTATTACCGTGGTTTCCTTACGCAGGAACACCTTCCACAGTCATTACGAATCCCGTCACAGAGGCCCCTGTTTACCTACCTTCACATAGCCATGAACGGCAAACCTCTCCCGTCCCACCTCACTTTTTTCTTTAAAGACACTTGAGCTGGATATCTGTTTATAGCCAAACCAACGAACCCAACCACACAGAATTTCCAAGGCAAAGATCCCAAAGGAGAGGAGATGGCATTCCCGTAGGGCTCCGAGGCCACTTCATACCTGATGAAGGTGGGAATTGTTCGTCAGTCCTTGCGTCCCTGGGATGGTGCCTGTGTGTTTCATGTGGACGTTGTTCATGGCTGGCAATTTGGCAACCTTTGTGGGTTTGCTGCTGCTGCTGCTGTGGTTGATGCTGCTTGAGGCGGGCGAGCACTTTCTTTTCTTCCCTATGAGTTTGTCTAGAGGAGTGTGTGAGTTGACAGTCAGTTCGTTGGACTGGTGAATGAACGGGCCAAGAGAAAGAGTGGAATGGCTGCTGTTCACCATCACGCTCATCCTCCTGATGGATTCTGCAGGGCTCCCTCCAGCGGGGACCCTCCCTGACTGGTCATGCCGGACGCTCACCGAGTTAGCTTTAGTCGTCACACAGTTGAGGCCGATGCTGTGGGAAGATGTGACCACTGAGGGGTAGGGAGGCCCAGAGTGTGCCACACAGTTTTTCCTAAAGGGCTCCATGGAATGAGAAGAAGAGGAGGAGGAGGAAGAGTGAATTAACAGTGGAGAAGTGTTTTTGCGTTTCTTTCCTGAGCCGCCACTGTTACTGCTACTGGCGCTGTGACAGTTACTGCTGTTACCAGGAGGTTCCTTGGGCCTTAAAGACTTGCTGGGTTTTAACTTCTGAGGTTTCCTGGACATGGGGGAGGAGGGGACAGAGGAAAGGCCCGAGGGCGTAGAAGGGGACGAGGATGACGAGGACACTTGTCTGGACTGCATACTGCACACGGGATCCATTGCTCCAGAAGTGGCAGGCTGGGCATTTAGTGTGGTTCCATGAGCTGGCACCGATTTGCTACTTGGGGAGATGCAGGTGGTTGGTAGGAGAGCTGGGTGTGTAGAGACAGCGAGATGGCTGACCCCGCAGGGGGAAGCCAGTGCAGAGTTTGTCCGGTGAGGAACACGTGTGGAGACAGGCGATGTGGTGCTGGGCACTGGTGGGATTTTCCTGGGAAAAGGAGAGGGCAAGGAGTAGTATTCGCCAGATTCATGCACACCCACTTTCAGATGAACACCCCTCGATCACTTTGCAATTCTCTAAGTCCAGCATGTACTCCTCTGCTTCACATTCTTTAATGCCTTCCTGGGGCTCTCAGAATAAAAACCAAATCCTCCTCACGCTTTGTAAGTCCCTCTGGGTCTTGTCCCCTGCCACTGTCCCAACCTGACAGGGCTAGTCCTAGCTCTCTTGGACTTCCTCAAGTCAAGGTCCAAGAGTACGCCACAACTTCACATTTCCAACTGCTCTCATGTTGATTCTGACTCATGGTGACCCCAGGTGTGACAGAGCAGACATGCACTTCACAGGGTTTTAACCAGACCTTTCTTCTGAGGTGCCTCCAGCCGAGTTGCTAAGTGTTTGCACTACCTAGGACTCAATGCCCCGATGTAAGACTCTGTGTAGCTTATGCCTGGGATGGCCTTATCCCCAACTTTCACAAATAAAGTATTCTAAGTGCCCAGCACAGTACCTGGAAATACTAAAAATTCATGAATGAATGAAAGGACAAGGAAGGGTACAGCTAATTGGCCACATCGGCTAGGTCTTAACTAGTGGCCTGAAATGCTGCATAAGGAAATGGCAAAGGTGCCTTAAACTCTGTGTGACTTTAGTCACAGTGCTACAATAATGTGCATGGATAAGATGTTTATCTGAGAGTGGGGAAGTCTTCATCCCCACCTCCAGTCTCAGTTCTGACTTTTAAATGGGACAGCACCCCCAAATTTTAATATTTCTTATGGCTGAATCAAAGCTGAGGTGGCAACATTAAAAATGATGCTTATTGCAGAACTTGTCCTTTGGTTGTTTAAATGATTATATATTCCTGAGTGTTTTTGTGTACATTCCCATCCCTCCCCAGTAAACAACAGAAGGAATAGGAGGAGCAAATACCGTCCAATGATGATACAGGAGGAGATTGTAATGACTGCAATGAAATGATGAGTGCAAAACCAGTGTTCTCCCATATAAACTATCACTCCATTCACAATCAAAACTTAAAGAGTGTTCTACTCTTGGCCTCCCAGGGCAGACCCACCTACAACTCTAAGTGCTTCCTAGATACTTCTTAAGAACTATAGCTACTAAAAATTCATCCCTGCAAACACCCACACTTTCTTTAAAAAGCCCATTCACGAGAGGAACGCTGGTTTTCTAAGCCCATGCATCTCAGCCTTGGCTGCACAGCACAGTCATCTCAGGTGAGGTGCTCAACCACAGCCCAGGATTGTTTACACCACAATCTGTTTGTTGGGGGCAGACATTAGTGATTTCTCCATTTCTCCAAGAACTGTGCCCTGGTCTCTACCTGATAGGTTTTCAACTGAACCTACTTCAACAGACTCCACTTGTTAGCAAGGCTCCCAGGCTTCCCATAGGGGCTGGTGCATTTGAGAGGCAGTTCAAATCCATCAGCCACTCCTCAATGGCAATTAACAACAACTGCTCTTTGGGGGTCCTGGTGTGGCACTACAGGATAAGCACTACACTGTTCAAACCCAACAGCTATGAGTTGGAACCAACAGGATAGGATGGTGCTTCACAACACTGCTCATGGAGTCTAGTGGTGCATCATGGCCACTAGGTGGCTCAGGAAGTTGGGGGCCTAAGGACCCGGTAGCTGGAACCCAATGCTGGATGAAGGGAAAGGGCTTTATGGGTTAAGAAGTGATCTCTTGGAACACGAGTCTCTGGTTCCTCATACAAGCACTTTTAGGTAGTTTCTAACCTGTATCTAAGAATACATAATCAGAATGACTTGGGTTTGTACAAGTAAGTTCTGTAAAGGTAGACAAGAAATGAATCTCACCGTTGTTCTGAGATTCCACTTACTGGAGATGACTTGGTTCACACTTAACACAAATCTCACTTTCATTTCACCACACTAAAAGGGCTGGAAAACAGGCTCTTCAAGGAAGGGAGGATTTCTGGCTGAGCACCTCAAAGGTGGCCCCAGAAAACAGTTCTCTGGGAGAAGCAAAGCCACCTCTAGCCAATTTCAGGAGCTGCCTGAACAAACTTTGCCTCAGTCCCACATCACCAGTGTGGGGAGACTTTCCCTAGCACCTGGCTTGGCAACTCTCCATGGAGTTCCAGTCTGTCTCAGCCTGTGTGCCAACTCACCAATGAGCAACAAGTCTGCCCCTGCTATACTGACATTTAAAAATCTCTAGGTCCTATTAATGGATAGGGACGGTTTCCCCTTCTCTGAAGCAAGGCTGACAAATGTCCTGAATGAAGTCAGAGCAGACAGCAGTCAGTCCCACAATCCTACTTTTCCAATGTTCACAGCATAAACAGAAAAGGCTGTTTATATGAGTTGTATCTTTAGGAACCAGAATCTTCAAACAGACTGTTAACTACAGCTGCTTATTGGTAGTTGCTGTTAAGTGCCATCCAGACTGTTCCGACTCACAGCAACCCTGTATAGGGTTTCCAGGGAGTGGCCGTGGGTCTGAACAGCCAACCACTCCAGTACTTATCCTACAGCACTACACCAGAACTCCTTTCTGAGGCCCCTTCTGGACACTTAACAAGTACACTAGGAACCACAGGCTCTTCAAGTCCCGCCAGGTAGTCTGATAAAACAAGCAGCTGAAATTTCCTGTATCTTAGGATATTCTGAAATGAAGAAATGCTCAGAACCCCCAGGAACCACTCCTTCACAAAGCAGAGGAGGAAATGTGCAGCAGATGACCAGCATGACAAGAGAAAGCGGAAGCCCCACTAATGACCATGGAGAGGGCTTTTCCTTGTGGATGTCCAAGGCCTCTGACTAGACTGCTCTGTCTGTATGAGGAAACCAAGACAGGGAGGCAAGTGGATGCATTGGCAAAGAATCTCTGGGCCTCCAAAAAAGGCTCCCATGTTAAAAGAACTTGAGAGAGGTTTTACATTATATGAGCAAATCCCCTACTTTGAGAGTTCCAATGCACACTGCCTATCTAAAGCAATGACATGTTGTATTCCCTTTATTTTTCTCTTAACAGGTTTTTGTCTTTCTCTTCCACTAGAACGTGACCTGTATACATGTGAGAGTCCTTCTACCATCTGACCCAACACTCACAGCACTATGTTTGCTAAACGAGAGCACGGATGATGAGCTGAAGGTCCTATTTTCATGTGAGATAAGCACATCTTAATGACCTCATCCTCACAGGAAATCCAGAGAAGATGTGGACAGGAGAGTCGTCCCCCTCCCTCCGCACAGCACACAGGGCTGGTACGGGTACTCACTTCCACAGCTGCGCATTCAGATGCTTCTCCACCATGAGGTTGAGGGCGCAGCGAAGCCGGTTCCACCTGGAGTCAAACACATAATAGCCTCTTCCAATCTGCCGGCTCCCAAATGTGCAAAACTGAAAGAGAGAACACAACTGCATGTGCTTACCAACTCCGACCATGGCACCCTTTGTTGAGGGTTCTCTCCTTCCAGAAAGGCGCTAACCATGACAGACTCTGAGTATCATAAGCTGTGAAGCATGAGAGTGACAATGCCTAGCCCTGAGGATCGTGGAAGAGAAAGGGAAAAGCATGAGACGCCCCCCGGCAGAGTGCGAGCCGCCTCTGGGGCACCCTGTTCTGAGCTGCTCTCACATCTGGACCGTGTCCCACAAGTAAGGGCATGCCAAGGTCCCTGGCGCGCCCCCCTGCAGTGCCCTGTCCATGCTGCGTGGGGAGGGTCAACGCGGGGGTGGACGTGGAACTTACAGATGCTGGCTGAGGATGATGACCTGAATAATGACAGTCCAGTTTTTCAACAGACTCTTCTTTGTCATCGCCTTCGCCCTCCTCACTGGATAACCGAGAAGCTGGCTCAGTGGCAGGCAGGGGAGGGTGTGGAGATTCATGGACTGGAGGAGGGTCAATGGGGGCACTCCCACCTTGCTGAGCAGGGCAGCCTGGAGGCCTTGGTGGGTAGAAAGTGCATCATGGATCAATCACACACCTGGGAATCACCGCCTTACCTCAGATACAACAACGTATCCAAAACCACCACAGGAGGCCTACTAACAGTGGGGGGGAAACAGGTGCGTTCATATACATGGCCTGGGAGTGAAGGGACCTCTTTCCTGATCTAGCTCACTCACTGCCTTCGACTCGATTCCGAATCATGGAGACCTGATCCTGAAGAGTTTCTGAGATGGTAAACCTTTACAGGAGCAGGCTGCCTCGGTTTGTTCCTGCAGAGTGGCTGATGGGTTTGAACTACTGACCTTGTGGTTAGCAGCCCAGCGTTTAACTCACAGTGTCACCAGGGTTCCTTTTACCTGAACTATACAATGACAAATAAAGCTGTGTGTGTTGAGTTAACCCAAGGTAACCAATAAAGTTACCTTCTGTAAAGTTCTCTTCAAGGGTGAAATATAGTACTTAAGAGAATTCTTCCTTTTATGTCTCTTCAACTGGATCTGGGTTACTAAGACAATGATTTGGGATAACCAGGAAAGTATACAAAAATAACATGACAGGGAGTGGGTGATAAACCACAAGGTTTTATGCAGAGGCTGCTATGTAAGGACAGTAATGCAGCTTTCCTACATTTTGAATGGCCTGGTGGTTCTCAAATCAATCTTTTGATATACGGCAACACTTCCTTGAGGAGTTGGCCCAAGGACTTGCAAAGGAAAGTACAGCTGGGCCTGGCCACGCTCTGGAGAGCCTCTTCAGACCGCTCCTCTACTGTGCCGCTGAGAAACCACAGGAGTTATACGGACACGCTTGAGCATACACTTCAGTTTGGGTTTCCACGAGGTGGTTACTTCGACCCCTCTAAGTGGCAACTTCAAGGATCAGATGTGTCAGGGTGAAACGCTGAGTAACAATAGCCAAGGCTTGGAACATTCCTAAGTGGAAGTCCTTGTTGCCAATACTTAAACAGTCGACACTAAAGACCCTGATTCTCTACGCCTTTCTCTTTCCCTTCCCTCTGGAAATTACTTCAACTTGGATAAATACACAAGTACAAACACATACATATTCCACATTCATGGTCTGCGAAATATGTATGATAAAGTCTCAGAAACAGTTTGATCCATTGCTTATTATGGTGCTAAAATGCCTAATACATGCTAAGACCAAAGCCCCAGATGAATGAATGAAAAAAATATGTTGAAAAATGGATGCTGTAAAAACTCAGGCTGAACACCCATCACCAGCAAAGATTCCCATTGCTGCACTGTGCAAGAAGTGAGACAAATGAATGGGAAATTGCTGCCAAAGCCGTGTGAGATGCTCCAATCACTAACCTGCAGAAAGTACCAGAGTTTCAACCCTTGTCAGTGAGGTTAGCAGACTCCTAATGCTGAGTCAGGGTGCAGCAGATAAAGCTAACTTAATTTGTTCTCTATCTGGCCAAGCTGCAGCCCTAGTAGAAACATCCTGGCAAATTCAACACTTCGCCTCATAGTAACTCCAAATTTCAAACAAGTATCTCCACAGTGAACCTGACATACTGTTACAGACATCATGACTGTACTGGAACCGTACAATGGCCACAAGGTGGTTCTTCGAGGGAGGAGGAAGGATGGAGGCTCAGCTTACCTTGGAAGACTGGGGGTGTGAGGTTTAAGTTTACTAGCTAGTAAAAGCTTTGATTCTGAAGGAATAACTCCGTGAGAGTTTTGGTGTGGCTCCTGTGAAGTTCTAGGAGGGGTAGGATGCAGGTCCCTGAGAGGCTGCGTTGGTTGCTGAGAGTCCAGATGGCGAATTGATTCCTTTTCCCTGGTTTTGTTTTTGTGCTCGGCTAATAACACATCAAATCGTTTTCTTCTACCCTGGACAGCCCTCCGTTGGGTTAAAGAATGTGTCTACAGATGCAAAAAACACACACACACACACACACAGAAACTGAGGAATCACAATAATTTTTATCTGGCATGTATTCAAAAAATCATTCTGGACCATTAACATGGCTGCCCTGCATTCGATAAGCTACAAAGCACCATCTTTCACTAGAAAGAGCACATATTCCAGGGTCTAAGTGTATGAGTGTGGTATTGTAGAATAAGCACTCTACCATAAGATCAGTTTGAACTGCAAGGCCGGTGGTTTAAACTTACCAGTCATTCCTTGGAAAACCTATACAGGGTTGCTATAAGTCAGAACTGACTTGATGGCACTTAACAACAAAATCAACAATAAGTGTGTGAGGATCTGTTGTGGTGATTATTCCCTGGAAACAGACATGTAAACCTGTGCCACCTGTAAACTCACTGAGGGAAAAAACAGTGTAAACACACAGGTGACAAGGTATGAATGTTTTGTGTCACACATAAAATATCCGCTTATGAGGGTTCTCCTCAAATTCATTAGACAAATCACTTTTCAGACTGCTGTAACATTTTGAGTATTTAAAGGAAAAGAAAAAAAAAAAACGAATCCCTAAGACATGCATCAGAGTTTTTTTTTAATAACATGCCACAGAGTAAAAATTACACATTGTTTCTATTTCCATGAAAATGCTATGCAAAGAGAGCATGGAATGCTATTGTTGAGGAAGAATGAAGAGGAATAAAAAATATCAGAATGAGAAAAAAGAGGCTGTGAGAGGAAGAGAGATAAAAGCACAATGGGTTCCTGTAAACGGATGCTTATCACTGAAATTTAGAAAATGGGATGGAAAGCATTCTTGAGTCTTAAGATCATATCTAATTTCAGAATTAAGAAATACCACATTGAGACAAGATGACCAGGACAGTGGTTTTCACAGGCCGGCAGTGAGGACGATGCAAGCACATTTTATAAAACAATGGTTTGGGGTTTATTTTAAATGCATCTGTATTTCAAATGAATCTGATAATTACTGATATTTATAAAACAAAGATGCACTTGGGGCTAATGCCATTCTTAACAGATGACAAAGCTGACTGTGTAAGTGTGAACTGATCAGAGTTGGGCAAATCTCTGCAGCCAAGTCCTGTCACTGTGAAAGGATTGTGGAAGTCGAGTTATCATGACCGTTCCACGCTGCGGGAACCTCTGCCTATAAGTAGTGCGGAGGATATGGATTCTCAAGAGTGCATGACCTTATATTAACCACAGGGGACCCCAATCACACATCCATTCACTATAAGGGAATTCAACCACACACTTCGTTTTCTCTTTTATGCTGAAAACACTGTAAGTGATACTTTGTGTTTGTGCTCATACACATTATACACACATATCGATACACAGGTTTATAGAGCATACTTGCTACAATTGGAATTATGCTTCCAACATCCATTTAAAATTTTAAAAACATAACCTAAGACTGCTCAAAATTGAGTCCAGCACAGACAGCCGGATAAATGTATTTAGCCTATTTTTAAATGGTATTTAATTTTAATATGTAGTACATTCACAAGACAATAACGCAAATAAGGACAAAGATTTTTGCCTGTTTTATTATTAGTGCTTTACCACTACCTTGAGAAGCAACTGACACTCAATAAATGCCTCAAAGTACCTATTACAACAATACATACTGAGTGAACAAGTGAACATATGTCACTATCTCTCCAAACAGATGCAGAAAGCCTTCCTTATCTTTGCAAGTTGTCAGGTGGTTAGAACAGTCAAGTGAAGAAAGAAGTAGGTGGAGATAATATTTTCCAAGTTTGGTTTAAAGAGCAAATGATTTCCAGAAACCTCAGAGACACATTCTAAACACACATCTTGTGATTTCACACACACACACAAAACTCATGTCCAAGAATTCAAGAGTAGATGGTTAAGGTTTGAGTAACTATGCCTCTGGGGTTGGGCATACTTTAAGACTTGCTCACAACTCCCATCTCCTTTGATTTCACTTGCCTGTTCCATCCTCTTTCTGATCTGCCACCTGGCCTTCTTCAGGCTAGTAAGGTTATGCACTGCCTGCTCCTTCCCTTGCCCCATCACACAGCCTTCACACATGTTTATGTTTCCTCTGCCTTGAACAGCCACACAGCCGCTTTTGCCCACATAAATCATCATATGGATCTCAGCCAAGTGTTTTGATGGCAAGGAAGTCTTCCCGGGTTAAACCTCTTTACTGCAGGCTCACATAACACAGGTCTCTTTCCTTGTCATTCCTTGTGGTAATTTTACACTGACTTGAGTGATTACTGAATTAATACCCATCTCTTCCCTTAAACTCTATGTACCACAAGGTGAGGGAACAAGTCTAGATCTCCTGATTTTATTTAACTGTGTATCCTCTGGGGCTTAGAATGAGACCTATGCACCTAGATGCATGCATTAAGTAGTCCTCCAGTGACTGAAAGACAAGGTGATCAGAGTCAGAATCTATTCTCAGGGAAGGCATAAAGGAAGAACCAGGACACCAGACAGTGATGAAATGAAGTGGGAGAGTTAGGGTGGCAAGTAGACAAGATGGGAAAAGAGGATACAAGTAGGGAGCCGGGGGATTCTGACCGGGAAGAGAATGAACTATGACAGAACAGACATAGGCAGCACCTCGGGGAGATTCAGGATAGAGGCACCTTAAACAGCTTAATAAGATGGTTCTGTCCAAATGGAGGCAGGGGAAGGGGCATGGCCTGACACATACACAAGTGAGGGCAGTCTAGGGACGGGCATGCCTGACAGGATGCTGTATCTCCTGGCAGCTTTCTTCTGAACTCATGACAAGCCAGAGCTGAAGGCATGTATTACTGCGGTGACAGGCTTACTACCACATGCCAGACAGGAATGACACCTTTGTAAGATCACCTGGAGAGAACACACATTTGGAAAGGAAGATGGAAAAAAAATACAGGATCCACAGAAAGCCAGTACACTTAGCAAAGAAGCTTGGGAAGCATGCGGCCCAAACTTCTCACAGAAGCTCACTTGAAAAAGTTTTCAGTTCATCAGCAGGCCTTACAGGTGATTCAAAAAACAGCATATTGCTTCTTGGGTCAAGAAAGCATCCTTGGACTGACTATGAGTGTTCCAAATGTAAAGGTAGATGCTTTGTAACAAAAGGAGGAGAGTGGTTGACTTTGCAGTCCAGGAGCAGAGGACCCTGGGACCATATCAAGTGAGAAGAATGGAGTGCGAGACCCAATCCAGAGAAGCAGTGATGCCAGAGATGGAGGCAGAGACGATGATGTGGAGAGATGGAGCGGCTGGGGTCTCATGGAGGGAAAAGGGCTGTATGCTGACGGCCTGGTGGGCAGGCCTGTGGGGTGTACCCTTTGGTTGTTTGATGATACATGGAGGAGACTGTAATTATTACAATGAAATGAAATATGATAGGATGAACGTAAAGCTGATGTTCTCCCACGTAAACTATCACTCAATTTCACAATATTAAAAAAAAAAAAAAAAAGCAAGCATCCTTAGTCATTGGTTAAGATCATAGTGAGAAATCCACCAGACTGGAGGCAGGAGACGAGACAACAGAAGATGGCACGCAGCCAGTGTGAGCCTGGTGTGGACCAGGATGGAGGACCGCCTGCCAGCCTTTCTAAGTTCCCTTTGAGGCAGTGAAGCCACGGACACAACTCTACTCCCTTTCTATTAGCACACTGCCATTTTAAGGGAACTAAAGAAAATCTCAAGACAGAAAGGAAGATACTGACATTTTATGCATACATTAGATATTTTCTCAGCTATATTAAAAAAAAAAAGGTTGAAAACCAAGACTAGCTCAACAAAGTCACAGATTTTTAAATGTAGTTCTTTAAAACGTAAGAACCATGAATTACACAAAAATTTAAAGAATATTCATTTGTATGCAAAGGGAATTTCTACACTTATTTTTAAATGGCACAATTTAAACCACAGTAAAGGGCAGCAACCTTTGCCTCTCCTATCAAAATGTCTACTATGCAGAAATATTACAAGTCTTTGAAGTTAACAGAAAATTTGGAAAGAACATTAATCCCCTGGAGACAATACTATTCATTAGAAAGAAAATCTCTCTCAAGACTCTAATAACAGCCTTCACATTTTAACAACTTGAGACCTTCCGCTCATCATGTACAAAATTCAGAACAATCCACAGATCATCAAACCCCTTCTGGGTTGGAAGAGACCTTGGCAGCTCAACAGTGCATCCAAGGCCCCTGTGCTCATGCTGCAGGAAGCTACCTACCTTGCATGTCAAAGACCGGGTACAGGGCTTCTTGGTGTCGAGATCAATGACCCCACAGTGTATATCAGGATCAAACTCTCTTTCTGTCAAAAGCACACAGACATTACAATAGGCTTGCCAAATATACTTTAGTTTAATTTGTGAAGAAGAAAACAGAAGAAATCTCAAGATAGACAAATTATAATTTGAATACAATTTATCATGTTATCCACAAATACAAAACATGGTAACACAGAATATATATAGCATACAGCAAAGCAGCAGCAACATCACTAAGACAATGGTGACTATTGCCATTAGATGACAGGAAAGATACTGTTAAAGTCAGCTTCACTACATTAGGAACATGTTCAGCAAAATACTCCTGGAAAATGATTTGTGCATTACTGCATACACATACAACAGACACGTGCTCCTTTAAACCAAGAGTGAAAAGGACAAGCCCTTTACCTAAAGACACTCCTCTTCAAGCTGAAACTGGTATCAAAGAGGCTTACCGACAACAGTTCATCTGCTCTCCACAGTTGCAAACTTAGAAACGTCAATGAGAGAGAAAATTCAAATTACCTGATAATCTCTTATTTAAAAATTTCCGATGATTAGAATTGTCTTCGGATTTCTTTTCTGGCGTGGGCGGTGCAGGAAGCCCTTTACCATTCAGGATCTGTCCAGGTGAAGGCAAGTTTTGCTTTGGTATTGAGGGGCAGGTAAGGCCAGACTTGACTGAGGAACTCACAGCAGCAGGACAGGCCGGCCCCACGACAGATTTCAGTAGTGTGCCGTCCACCTTCGGATGGACCTTCTCCACTTTGACAGAGGCCGCCATGCTGTCAGGGGGGAGTGAGAACAGCAGCATGTGAGTGCCCTAGCGGACCCAGGAGGTACACGGGCCACTACCGCACAGGGTCGGCTCCCACACAGTACCTTAAAGATGTTTTTAGGACTAGGCTTTAGAAAAACCACTAAGGTTCACATGCATTCAGTATACGCCTACTAGACAGGACAAAGCCCCAGTGGATGATCCAATTTACTATTATCTTTCACCATTTCCGAGAAGTGCTACACATGGGTCAGGGGGAAAACTGGACCTGATGTCAAATACAATTATTGCAAGAACGAAAAATATGAAAAGGTCTAAGAGGACCAAGACTATGTGAAGGACCTTTAGAGACTTTCTTTTGAAAACTGTAATTTTTTAAGAATGAGTGCATCAAAGCAAAGTAAACCTCTGAATGAACAACAACAACAAAAATACCAATGAGAATTAGAGAACGCTTTGAAGAAATAGCACTAAGGATTTACAAAAATTCCACGGAACGTAACCATACACCTGAAAGCTGCTTAATTAAATATGGTTTCACTTAGGGACACATATTAACCTATAGGCATAGATTCCTGGGTCTCTGTCTACTTAGTGCATGATGTTGTGTGTGAGCACTTGTTCTCAAACAAGTTTCTGTGATCAGATAAAACACTTGGCACAGGGTTTCTGAGCACGGAACTCTTGCACCGATAGCATAGGACTATTGCTCTTGGAATCTTACTGATACACAATTTCACTTGGCAAGAATTATGAATTGTTGCAAAGCTAACAGTTGGCCAGGCCCTTCTCTAAAGCCCAGCTCTAAATAAAGGTTTGGGTTGATGAAGTTTTACACACTTAGATCAGCGGAGCTGGTGTTCTAACAGCTGTGAAGCTGCAGAGTGGCTTATGTGCTGCACTGACATTTGCTTTGGCTTTCACACACATCAGGAATGAAAGCCAAACTTTCTGCACTGCATTTCTGACAAAGACAAGCAGGGCTGGACACTTAGTAACCAAGACAAATAGCCCTAAACAGCTGTATCTTGAACAGACTGACAGCACCTGAGACTGCAAGGTGCCATGGCCTCTTCTCCCAGCTGGCTGGGTCTTTGGGCAGTAGCAGGTGCTAGCCACTGTCCTGAGATTAACCAGGTTATCAGAACCTTGAGACCGAGTATGTGGCATACCCTCCAAAATGGAGGCAGGCCAAAGAAAAGTCACCAGCCACCAAGGCTAAGGGATGCCATGACAAGGCAAGATATGATTACATGGGAGTGCACGGCTGTTCCCTCATGTGACTTCAAGGAGCCTGCCAACCTGCAGATCCACTGTGGAAGCTGGCCAAAAGCTTGCCTGGAGGGTGTGAACTTCTCTGTCTTCTTTTATCACTGCTGGGACATGAATCCAAAGCTGGCAGGGAGGAAGTACTGCATCCCAATTTACTTTGCAGGCCCCAGAAATTCCTAGATCAGCTCCTTGAAATAGCTTCACCTCTTTATTGTTACTATTACCAGCCAAAGTAAGAAGCATGGGTCAGGTCTAATGCTGTACATTAACTTTGCCCTGTGGCTATTAGAGAGAAGCAAGGCCCTGCCCAAGGCCCACCAGCCAGGAAGTGCCAGAGGTAGGATTTGAAGCTGGGCCTGTTTGAGTAGAGGTCAATCTTATCAAACTATGTTCTCTTTACCTGGAAAATGACAGTAACAACAGTATCTACTTCCTAGGATTAGGAGAATTAAATAACAGAGGACACATCGAGAGCTTAGTTTCAGTACTTGACTATTCTATAAAGTCTCCCAAGAATAAGATGTTGTGAAGTGTCTCAAGTCAACTCCAATTTAGAGCTACCCTGTATATTGTGTTTCCGAGGAAGTATTGGTGGTTTTAAACCACCAACAATGTGGTGAGCAGTCTAGTGCTCATCCTACAGTGCCACACCAGGACTCCAAGACTGGTTTTGTGTTGTTTAATGCTGACGAGTCAGTTCAGACTTAGAGTGACTCTGTGTAGCGTTTCTGATGAGTGGCTGGTGAGTTTGACCATCGACACGACATTGCGGTTAAAACGGACTCGGGGGGTCCAGTGCATTACCCTGTAACACCACACCAGGACTCTAAGAATAAGACTGTTGTTGTTAGGTGCCATCGAGTTGATTCCAACTCATAGCGACCCTGTCTAGGGTTTCCGAGGAACAAATGGTGGGTTTGAACTGCTGATCTTGTGGTTCGCAGTCCAGTGCTGATCCTACAGTGCCACACCAGAAGACCAAGAATAAGATTGTTGTTGTTGTTAAGTGCCATCGAGTCCATCCCAACCCATAGTGATGCTGTGTAGGATTTCCAAGGAGCAGCTGGTGAGCTTGAACTGCAAACCTTGCAGTTCCAACAGCTTTGCAGTTTGGCACATTAACGCACAGCGCCACACCAAGACTCCAGAATAAGACTGTTGTTGTTGTTGAGTGCCATCGAGTCGGTTCCGACCCATAGCGACCCTGAACAGGGTTTCCAAGGCTGTAAATATTTATGGGAGCAGAAAGCCTCATCTTTCTCCTGTGGAACAGCTGGTAGTTTCGAACTGCTGACCTTGCAGTTCGTGCCTGATTCGTAACCACTACGCTACCAGAGCTAACACAACTAGGGAAACAAAAATGATCAACAACGTTATTTCTGACATTTCCCCCTCAAATGGGCTCGCTCATGTCATTTACTGGTAGACCCAGGTGCTACTATTATAGGTAGACATATAGTCCCATTCCCCACAAGTGAACTTTAGAAATCCTCGGGCCTATACTCACATTCTATGGGGGACTCTACTTTGCTGAATGGGGTGCACTGGCCTGGCGTTCCCCCTGAGCTGCTGTTTCTCTTTGGGTGATTTCAACAACTTGGAACTTGCTGAGGATGCGCTCACGACGCCTCCACCGGAACAACGGCTGCTTCCACTTGCACTGGCTCCTTTGCTTTTGGATAATGAAGGGAAGCAGGAGAACAGCGAAGTGGGAGGAACGGCCAAAGAAGTCTTGCTGGGTGAGCTGTGTCTTCTTTCTGGAAGGAAAGGCAAAATAAAACATCACCACAGTTCAGTCAAGTCTCACATGGAATCCTAGAGGAGCAGCACACTGAAACCAACATGCTCAGGTTAAATTATGTGTCACTAGGTGAAAATATAAGGAGCTCTGGTAGTGTAGTGGTTACGAATCGGGCTGCGGACCTTAAGGTCAGTGGTTCGAAACTACCAGCTGCTCCGCGGGAGAAAGATGAGGCTTTCTACTCCCGTAAAAATTTACACCCTCGGAAACCCTGTACAGGGTCGCTATGGGTCGGAATCAACTCGATGGCACTTAACAACAAAAACAACAGGTGAAAATGTATTAGTTAACAGCTTTCAGAAAAGGCTTATCAAGGCCCTGCAGGCTTTTTTTAAGATTCTAGGAACTGGTCGTCTTGTTTAGGAACCATTTCAGCATAAAGAGGTTTATCACAGATATCCATTAGAAATTAAACAGCCAGCCTAAACCTGAGAATATGGCCCTTGGTGCTGCGCAGGGTAGAAACAAATTTCACTGCCTCTAACTTGCAGCCAGAGAGGAGAATATTATTCATTCATCTGCAGAGCTCTGCTAATTGACAATGCCTAAAATTCTGTCTTCTTTTGGAGCATAGCGGATTTCCAATTTTCAAAATAGCAAAATGTTAAGAAACAAGTTGTACCTTTTTTTTTTTTTTTTTTTTGTCACTACCCACCAGCATATGACACCAGTAAGAATGTTTCTAGGGTTACCTTTTCATGTCTTAAGAATCTGTACTGAAAATTTCCAGCAAACCATTTCACTACCACTACCACCACCCTCCCCTTATTTATTTATTTATTTATTTATTTATTTATTTTTGTAAAAATACTCTCACACAACTACAGATGGTGAAGCTCTGGTTCACACCAAGATGTCAAAGGCGCAAGACAAAAATACCACCAACAGCTATGGCTGGGTTTTTAAACCAGGAAGTTATTCATAGTTAAATACAGACCACACAAGTTTAACTAACAACAAATTTAAAGTAAGACAGACAACAAATCTATCCACTAGAGATCACACTTTCTCAGAGAGTAAAGCAATCCATACTAATGTAAGTCAAGCATCGCTCAAGAATGTTACTGTCCGAAACAAGTCAATTTTTTGGTGACTTTATCCATTTAAATACCTTTGGATGGTGACTTAGTGGCTCCTTCTAATTAACATTAGAATTTAACATAGCACATTTGCTTTAAGTTTTAAAATGCATGTGATCAACAACATTCACTTATGATCATACAGGAGCTACATGCGTACTTAAAAATTGCTGTTTTGTTAACTGCCATTGAGTCCCTTCCAACTCATAGCGACCCTAGAAGGGTTTCTGAGGAGCGGCTGGTGGGTTTGAACTACTAACTTTGTGGATCAACACTGATCCTACAGCTCCACAATGTTGCTGTTAAGCGCATTACTGAGTTGATTCTAACTCGTAACATCCTTGTTTATGGTTTCTGAGGAACAGCTGGTTTACAGTCCAGTACTAATGCCGACTTTGCGACTCACAGTCCATTGCTGATCCTAAAGCGCCAAACCAGGAGTCCACACTTTATGCATGTCAAAATCCAAGACTGCAAGTATGACTTCAATGGTTTATTGCTGCAGGTCTTTTTACAGCAGTTCTGAGCATCTTTGTGAAGCTCTGCTGACATATATTCCTGGAAGGACATCAGCTCAACAATGGTTTCTGTGGTTCTAAAGAGCCAGCTCCACACCTGGACAAAAATTATTACGCAATGTATATACGAAACCCAAACTCTCCAACTTCATCACACAAAGGCTAAGTTTGAAAGGTTCAATTGATGACGACTTTTTTTAGTCCTCTAGTCTCCTCCCTCCCCCAATATGAAAGTTGTACAAGGAAAACTAAAATAGATTACATTTAATCATTTTTAAAATTCCACATCAGTTACTTTTTAAAGTAACTCTTTCTTTCCTATGTGAACTCAATCCCTGAACAATCCTCCAAGTGCCAGCACTCCCCAGTAAGGACCGTGTGAACCTGTTTACACAGTTCCGCCGCCGACAGCCTTAGAGAGCAGCTGCCTTGTGCTGGGTCTTGGTCATCTTCTTCTGTAAGGCCCTGGCACACAGTAAGTATTCAACTATTATTTGCACATTAGTTAATTCAATGAATGTTTGCTTTAAAGTTTAATTCCATGGATGTTTGCTTTTCTTGTAAATACACGTGATTTTCCAATAACCCTAGGCCAGTAGTTCCCAACCTTGACTACAGGCAGGAATAACTTAAGGAGCTGACTTAATTAGTCAACGGTGTGACACAGACATTCAGAATTTTACAAGCTCCCCTGTGTGGTTCTGCTATGCAGCCAAGGTTGAAAGGCTGCCCTCGACTCAAAAAATGTCTCAAGAACTATTAACCATGGCTGAGCAAGTTAACATTTGTACAGTTCTGAGAACACTACTTAGCACACGGCACTAAAACTCATTGCTACTACTTGCCTTAAAATAGGGTTTTCCAAATGTTTATCAACTGAAAATGATTTTCATATTCTTACCAAAGCCATACCAAGTACTACTTTCCCTCAAAACGATTAAATTATTATCAATTCTATTGTCAATATCCCCCAACTCCACACCTCCTTAGTGTGATGCCAACCTGCCTCTCATGTGGGCATTACTGACATTTTAGGCAAAACAGTTCTTAGTGTAGGATTGTAGGATGCTACAGCAGTTAATACAGGACTGTAGCATGTTTTGTTGTTGTTGTTAAGTGCTGGAGAGTCAGTTCTGACCCATAGCGATCCTGTATAGGGTTTCCAAGGAGTGGTTGGTGAGTTTGAACTTCCGACCGTGTGGTTCCAACCAACTTTGCAGTCCAGCATATTAACTCACAGCGCCACACCAGGACTCCACAGGCTGTTTAGCCACCCCCATTTCTTAATCACCAGTAGAGTCCCTCTGCCAGGAGCAACATGAAAACATCCCCCCAATCCATTTCCACATGGCTGCAATATATTTCCTAAAACATATGTTAGCTACAAATCTATGACACAATAGGTAAGATGAGCTTGTGTGGTGGCACTGTGGGTTAATGCTCTGGACTGCAAGGTCGATTTGAACTGCAAGGTTGGTGGTTCAGGTTCAGCCACTGCTCCTTGGAAACCCAATACAGAGCCACCATGAGTAGGAACCAACTAGACCGCACCTAACAACAACCACCACATTATAGTCAAACTCAAATATAGTCACCCAAGTTTCTCCAAAAATCATCAGGCATGCCCCAGTGGCTGTGCTATGAAGGAACAATTCCATGTCTGTGACTCTAAGACGGTAGGGTAAGCAACTAAATTTTTGACTTCTAAGAAGTACACTCCCTTTATTCTTCTCTGGGCATCTGAATTATCAAGCAGATGTCTCAGAGCAAATGTGGTGTAGTTTACCTTTAAGTCAAATGATGTAAAAAAAAATTCTCAATCCAATTAATCAGTTATGTTACAATGCTTGTTTTAAAAATGTAAATCTGTTCAAAGTTCTATATTTTAGGGGGAAAACTGAGCAGAATCCAAATTCTGCATTCACTTATCTGCCATTTTGTCTGCAAGAAAGACTAGGTGAATACAGAAAAGGCAATGTAGCTGAACTGAGCCAGGTGGGAATAAACACACCAAGCACACACACCAGCTACTGCCTGGATTCACCACCAGTGAGTGTTACAAGCTACACCCACCCATAGCTGGTGTCACAACTTCCCTTCTGATTTCAGATACGCCTCATCTTACACCTTCCACCACTTCCCAATGACTTAAGAACGGCAGCCAGCCCCTCTGATGCCCATTTCCACAAGCAAACTGCAGATCTTTTTCAAGGTATAGTGCCTTATTTCATACATTTTAACTATTAACATGCGTAAAACGAGTCTGCCATTTTCACTAGGTTCTTTTTTGTGGTGTGTCACTAAAGAAATTTTTGAGTACTATCCCACTGTCCTGGAATCCTGTTTCTCCATAATTTCTTGTGGGTTTTGACTGACCTTGTGGTTCAAACTGACCTTGTGGTCCAGTGCTTTATCTACAGCTTCACACCAGGGCTCCTACTATTTACTGGACAAAACCCAAGTGCTAGCCATCATGCTATGAATATTTACAGGGATTATCGCATCCAGTTCTGACCACTATTCTAAGAAGCAAATACAGTTATTATCCCCCTTTCCAGATGTGAAAGCCAAGGCATTAAAGGACTTGAGTCACTTGCCCTAGCTCACACAGCTAGTTAGAGGCAGAGTTGGAATACAATCTCAGGCAAGCTGACTCCAGTGCCAGGCTAAACCACATCCCAAGCCTCCTGCCCTTAGATGGCATTTTTAGCAAGCCAGGATATCTGGTCTAAAGGAAGGCAGAAGGGAGAGAAAAATATGCGTGCGGGAGAGTGCATGAAGAACCCGACATTAACAAGTGTTTCGCCAAAGCAAGGTAACTATTAGCCAAAGCCTATGAAGGCTAACATACAGCAAAGTTGCTGAAGACAGTGTTTTGGTAAATTTTGGCGTTATGGGGAGCAGAGTATGTTTAAGGAAAACACAGATTGTTTTAGACCTCATCTTTTCAATTTGGAAGTTGCTATCCCTAAAGATCCTGGTGTGGCGCTTTGGGCTAATGTGCCAGACTGCAAAGTTGTTGCAACTGTAAGGTCGGTGGTTCAAGTTCACAAGCTGCTCTTTGGAAACACTATACCAGGTTGCTATGGGTCGGAACCAACTCGGTGGCACTTCACAACAACAACAATCCCTAAAGATCAGCTATGGGTGTCCAGCCAGTATACCATATTTTGGTTCAGGACTAAAAACATCAAAGAAGGTTTGAAGTGTGAATTGTAGTAGAAAGTGCCAAACAGGGTGTGTTTTCTTTTGGCTTGAGATAAAGAGTCACCTCACAAAGTTCTCACGTGAGAATTTTCTACAAAAAATCACCAGGAGGAGCAGCAAATACCTATTTTGTAGAACTAGGCTATATCCCA